TATATATATATATATATATATATCTATATACTTGCGATAATTTAATAACATTTTAATACTGAAATAATGTATTTGAATAGATAACATATATATTTGATTTATACAATCGTTATGTATTCATTAAAATTTAATGTAAGAAATGTTCTTTCTTAAATTTTACATTTTTATATCAATATTATGTATTTCCCTTAAAATACCGTATATATATACGTATCGTAGAAAAAAATCCGACAAAGTTTAAAATAGATAACAAGGAGTTGACGGTTCAACGAAGTTTTATTGAACAAACGCGAGAAGAAGTTAAAGTAATACTACTAGTTTAATTTCACATCTTTAAAAAAATATATATTCATCGATCTTATTGATCTTACTAATTTGTTCCAGATCATGAAGGATAAAATGAATTTAAGTAGAGGTCGGGATCGAGATAATACAGCACGACAGGTTTGTTAAATTTACTCTATTAATTTCCACAATTGGTTACTTTGATTTTCAGACATATTTAATAGAAGTATCAATAAAAATGCCGATAACATAAAAAACATCATAAGAAATATAAGACATAGTGTGATTATATTATATTACTTAATGTGTATAAAGTTACTTAACATTACTTATGTTTATTAGTTAAATGTTTAAATAAAACTAATTCGTATTTTCTCTCTTATATTTAACTTTTGTAGCATAATTAGTTGCAATATATTTAAATTTATAAATGAAACTGAAAGTAAAGAATGATATAAATGTACTGTCTTTTATACGTTCAAATTTCGCTCGCAAATTTCTATCGTACACATTGCGACATCTATGCGAAGCTGTCAAATTCTGTCGATAATATTGATAGTGATTATTAAATTTACTTGTTTATTTCTCTTAACGATTTCTTATGGATTTACAAATAAAACACTATTAATTGGAATTGCAGAAATGTGAAAATGGTTTACACGGTAAATCAGTATTTATATTATTATTATATTATTACCGTAATTCATAAAATAAACAATTTTTATAATACAATAATTTAAATTGTGTATTTATCAAATGAATCATCAAATATTTGCAGTAATTTACACCTTTTTTAAATTATATCAATAAATATTGTATGATTATATTTATGTGTTAACTTTTTGATTTAACAATTTGTATATTTATATTTTTTTATTTGTTACAGCCACTTTTGGATAACAGTCCTGCTCGAGTTCCTGTCAATCATGGCACAACAAAGTACAGTAAATTGGAAAATGAAATTGATAGCCCAAATAGACAGTTTTTGAATGACACGTTACAACAACAAAATGATATGATAAGGCAACAAGATGAACAACTAGATATGATAGGTGAAAGCATTGGAACGCTTAAAACAGTATCCAGACAAATTAATACTGAATTAGATGAACAAGCAGTGTGAGTTTTTAATTAGTACTATTAAATTTATTGCTGTTAATAAATTTACTGTTTAGATAAAGATAGTTTTAATCATTTCAGTATGCTAGATGAATTTGGTAATGAGTTGGAGGTGACGGATTCTAAACTCGATGCAACAATGAAAAAAATGGCCAAAGTTCTTCATATGAGTAATGGTAATTATAATAATTACATTCCTGCTCCTACTACTGCAACATCTAGTGTTTCTGATCTTGCCTCTAAACCTTCTTCTCTATCATCCTTATCAAATACAATAACTAATTGTTTCTTATGTTCTGGAGATTAAATTAATATTTTTACTATAATTTTACCATAATTATTCAGTAATATTTATAAACTGTATTTCTTTGCTTAACCATCTTTTTGTTCAAATTTATTTAAAATATTAATTTGGCTTTATTATTGGCATATAGTTTTTATATAATACAAAATTAATCATTTTTAACATTTACTGAAAAATTATGGAATTGTGTAATGAATCTAATAATCTATTTTGTCTTTAGAATAACATTGCACATTGCGATTATCCATAAATAAGTCATTTCCTATACACTCTTTTCATTAATTTAAACTGATATTTAGCACTATTGCACCATTTTTAATCATTTAATTCTTCTTATTAAATATATATAGGATTATAGAGTGATATATGATTATTTAGAAAAAGTTATTTATTGGAGAGTAGAAGTCTCATTAAATTGAAGTTACTTTAAAGCAAGAAATCAATAAAATAAACAGTAAGTAAAATAAACTAATTTTTTTTTGTGATTCATACATTATAAAGTGAAATATCTATTTCATATTTTTTAATTTTATTCATAAATAAAATTGTCTGTAAACAAAGCAAATTATTTGTTATTTGTCAAATAATTAAAGTTTTAGCAAAATATTAATAAGAAATTAAAACATTTTATAAACATAAAATAAAAGTAAAAATTGATCGATATACTTAGTAATAATCACTACCCAAACTATAAAATATTTTTCTATTATTTTATTAATTTTTTTACTTTTTATAAAAATTTAAAATTTATATTTTAATATTTACCTTTTTATGATTTTTATGCTTTTTCTATGTGATATATTCAAATTTAGTATCTTTTAAACGTTATATTTATTTTTATTCTTACTGTAACAAAAATAAATAAAAACAAAGAAAGTTAATTTTTTAATATAAGCAATTGTGTGAAAACCTATGTATATAAAATATTTAGGACATTTATAAATTATAAAAGAGTTGTGTATATTTAAATTTAGTAATTGCTAAAAATGTAGTATTAAAATGGACCAGTTGCAATTTCAAAATAATAGTTAACTTTAAAACAGTACAGTTCAAGTAATTATTATTTGCATATAGGCACTAAACAGTAGTATGAAATTCAATAACATTTAAAAAAGGTTATATCAAAAAATTATAAATAAATAAATGAATTGTATATAAATATTTCAATATATAAAAATATATAAAAGAACAATTTAGATCATTAAAAGAATTTTAAAATATTGCCAAATATTTCAGGGCATGTATCAAGGTAAAAAAAAGTAGCACAAGTAATTTGTGCCTGAAAAAATTTTAATGTCATAGATTTATAGACAGATACATATAGACATACTATTAGAGAAACAATATGTTTTAAAACTTCTGATACTTCTACTTCCAATGTATACAACATGTGATATTAATATATTGATTAAAGCATAGACGAAAATAGTTTAGGATCCAGTAGTATGAAATATTTATGATTGTGAAAATACCAGTCAGTGTATAACGAATGTAAATGAAAATATAAAGTTTAAAAAAAAAATGTTGAAGGGAAAGAAGAGAAAAATGTAAAAACAATTATTTGTACGTATGGTGATTGTTGATTGATTGTTTCTCAATGCGAATGAAATCGTTCATAAGTACTATGAAATTTAGTGACTGTAGATAATCTGAAGTTCTTCTCCATTTTAAGAAAACAAAAAGTAATAAAATGAGTTAAAAATTAGAAACTGAATCGTTTATTCATTGTTAGAACAATGTTGATAATATAATGTTGTGAATTCATATATAAAAGAAAAATTGTTTATTCTAGTTTGTATTTAAAAACTAAAAGAAAAAATTATACTTTATTATTTCACATAAATGACCAATTGTGAAGACATACTGATAAATAAAATTCAAGACTTACTTATTTATACTGTACATGTTACTGCAAAGTACCACAAACTCCTATCCATTCAAGCAATATTTACAACAGTATTATATAAAGAATTTATTACAAATTGAATTCTGTGCTTGAGAGATAATAATTTTTATTGAAAGAAATTTTCAGTAACATCCAGTTTTTATAATATTTATAGAATCAATATAAAATCTCTCAATCATGGAATATGATTTTTTTCACTTAAAATATGTTTATAAATGTAAGTGTTGATAATATAATGTTGTGTAGATACGTCATTCTTTTCTTTTTTGCTTTTATATGTTTATGCGATAATAATTTTGTTTCATATGTTTATGAAATTTCTAAAAGATAAATATAAGAATTATTATTTTGGTGCTTTTGTAATTTAATAATTGTTACAATTGCTGCTTATTATATATAAACAAGATAAACTCAAATTATATCTTTAAAAATCATTTAAATTGCTAAATTAATTTATGATATTGATTCTTTGCACTCTCAATATTATTAAAGCATGTAGTGAATGTGACAAATATCTTTTAAAATGTACAAAAAATTAAATCTTTTTCTTATATCCTATAACATATATTATTTTTTTAATACTTTGATGCTTACCAAACTTAGTATTTGAGTGCAGAGTACCAATATAAAAAATTAGTACTATTATGAAATGCTTGTTAAAGAGTGCATGTTGAAAGTAATATATAATATTTACTGTCTGAAGAAGGGCCAAATACACAATTATTAATTTTTCTTATATAATATGCCATATATGACTCATTTAATTTTACCATCATTCAATGAATGATGATAAAATCTTTTGATTCTGACTACTTTCTTTATAAGTGACGCATGTGATGTTACTTTCCGTTTGTTTTAGATCGGAGACAATGGGTAGCCATTGGAGTGTTGACTGCTATATTGGTGTTTCTAATAATTTTATTTATAATTAAGTGAATCATTTAATTTCCTAGTTTTCTTAAGAATTTATTGGTTCTTCTTCATAGCATTTAGTCGAATGCGTTACATTCTGTTTATGAATTATTAATAGCGATATTCTATGATCTATTATAATAAATATTTACAGTTATATTTTTGACAGGGTCTTTATGAATTCCCTTTCCCAAATGCAGGTAATAGTTAAATTAAAATATTCATATATTTTGTATACGTACATTATATCGATTTCGATATAATGATATTTGATGAAATCGAATTTGATATGTAATGATGTTTCACAAAAGTAAGTATCTTTTTTATCTTATTTTTTAGGTTTTGGTATATTAATACATCACATTAGATATTCTCCGACGATTGTTTATTTTTTATTCATATTAGATATGTATCAATATTTTTATAAAAATGTTACATTACATATAAAAATGTTATACGATGATACATATTGTAAAATATATTTGAATTTCTGTTTTTCTTTCGATTCTAAAAATGTTTTTCTGGTCTTTGATATTCCATAAATAAGTTATACAATGTATTACATTCGATTTTGTATATTAGAAATTAAAACAATTGTCTTCTTTCGAAGGAACTTTTGAAGGTTTCGAACTTAAAAGGAGGCTTAAAAATATGGCAATTACAATAAAATGACTGTATATAGATACTATATACATGTTTGTACATACGTACAAATAAGTTGTATTACAAAAATGTTGAATAAATTGAATAATGCAAGTGGTCTGGTAATGATAGCGGGAAGACATGTCTACTATATAAAATCTTTGGTATGACCATTACTTTAGTCGCTTGTACATATAACATTAATCAAGAAAAAATGCAAGATCATATTACAAATGATATGTTAAATAAAATGATTTAAGTGTAAATATACAGATAATCCTGCTCGTATAGTATAACATATTTAGTTTTACTATAAGTTGATGATCAAAATATACTTCATAATTCTTATAACATACAATATATATTTTGGATTTAGATATATAATTAATTTTCCAGTTATTATTTCGAACATATGTTTATGCATTTCTTATTTTTTTTCAATGCATATAAGGCACTTCTAGCGCTATGAAATGAAATGATCGTACTTAACTTTTAATAGAGTTTAGGGTTCGAGCCGTAGACGTTTATTACAAAAAGTAGGCAAAACTTTTCTTATGTCATCAATGTTATCAACCTCCATTCTTAATCTACTGACTTCATCTTCATAATTCTTTACCCACTGTGTTTGTAAATTTTTTGCATCCGTTAAATTACGAATTCTTTGATCTAGATTTGCAGCTATAATTTCTTTTTCAACTGCAGCTAAACGTTCTTCTAATGGATTTAAATAAGAATCATCTAAAATATAAAATTTTAAATCTGTGAAAAGGATAGAAAAAATTGAAAAATTACGATAGTACAAAACATACCAATTTCCGGTAAATTTTCAAGTTCTTTTATTATTTTAGCTACTTCATCCAGAGCTTTATCGACTTGCTGTGACGCTAATGTTACGTTACTTTTAGCTAAACCAACTTTATGATTCGCCTAAAAATGATTAAATTATAATAATTATATTATTACAATATAATAGTTATATAAAAATATCAGGTGCAATTAAGATCTTACTTCATTTGTAATGTTAGTATCCTGACTACTTTGACTTTCGTATTCCCTCATCATAGAATCTGTGATATCAACTCTTTGATGTAATTTTTCAGCTTCATTTCCTACACGAAGCGCTATTATTTTAGTTTTATTTGCTTCAGTTCTAATAGTGTTCGCTTTCGCACTAGCCTTTTCCGCATATGCCTAATGTACATGTTTAGCATATAATAAATTATATTTTATTATACACATGAAATAAATTATACTAACCTGAGCATCTTGCGCTATCTTACGTGCACGTTCGGCTTTATCTTCAGAACCATTTAATATATTTTCAGCTTGTAAAGCTTTCTCTGTGGCATTCATAATTAATGACTCAATGTCTTTTATGTTCTTTAGAGCATCTTGAGCTTTTACACGTTCTCTCTCTACTTCAGCATTAAATTCTAAAAATAATATTATAATTGAGAAATATATTCATTTCCTCTTTTTGACGGAGGAAATTTATCATTATTAATAAAAGTAATTGATATAATGTATACCGCTTAATTTCTGTAATGTTTCCTGAGCTTCTTTTAAAGTCTGATCTCCTCGTTTGACAGCATCATCCACTTTTTCATTTGCTTTATCCAGTTCGGCTAAAAGTTCAGCAGTAGCCGCTTGTTGATCTTGTGCTCGTTCTATTAACTCGTCGCTCTTTTTTACTTTTTCTACTATTTCATTTATAAAATTTTCATTTTCATCTAACAGCAATTGTGCTTGTTCTTTTAATCGTAATCCCTACGATGTATGTATTTCACTATAGGTATTTGAGTTATTTTTCGTAATAATAATATTTGTTACAGTTTAAATTTACCTCATTGTTTACGTCTTCAACTTGATTTTTCAATTGTTCAATGTCAACAGGTGGAAGTGCTAAATCGAGAATCAGTAAATCTATTGCTTCTTGTGAAACAGCGGTTGATTTAGTGGCTGCTATGCTGGTAAGATTTTTCACTTCGTTCATGCGATGCTCTAACAACTCCAATTTATTTTCTAATCCTCTAATATCATCACTAAATACAAAATAAATTTTTAAAGGAAATATAATACGGATAAAATGATCTCAAAAACATTCAACATTCATAGATATCAGTCAATAAATAAATACATACGTCATGTTAGAATATTTTGCTATAGCTTTTTTTGCAAGACTATAAGCTTCTATTGTTGTATTTCGAGCTTGTTCTGCTAGCGCATGAATTTTTTTTGCTTCATTAACATTTCTGTAAATGATAGATATTGATTAGGAAAAAGTACTAAAGATTTATAAGATTAAATTACTTACAATTCAGCTAACAGACGTGCGTCCTGCGCGATTGAAGTCATTTGTATATTCTGTTGGCCAACTTGATCTGCACGTGATTTAGCTTTTGACAATGCAGTTGCTCCGTCTGTGGCTAAATAATCTTCTGTATCCTAGCAAGTGTAAAATTTGATTTGAACATTTATCTTCGTGAATTTAATTTCATAAAATCATATCAATATTATTCTTACAGTTAATTGAGCGTGTATCTTATCCAGCACTTTTTCTGCCTTGTCAATATTCATCAAACCCTCTGAAGTAGTTTTATATGCGTCGAAAGCAGTCAAATTTACAGTTTGTGCAATATCTTCAATTTCATTCAGCTGATTACGTAATTCATCAAGTTGTTCCACCAAGGTTTTATTTTCGCCTACATTTTTTCAAAACATTTTTTTATATAATTCCACTTAAAAAATATAAATTGATACATTGAATAAATTACACTTACTACCGGAGCCTTGTTTAGCAATTTGTAAAAGATTTTTTACTTTATCTTGTACGATTTTCAATTCTTTCTCGAAGTCCGAATCTTTTATAACTGTCGGGCTGCTGTTAATTTTTTTAAGTGTATTTTCTAACTCTGCTAAACGTTCCCTATGATTATTAGCCGCAGCTTGAACAAGATTATAACAATCGGGACAATCGACGCATCCATTTTGTCTATTATGTTTGTTTTCTTTGCAACGATCACAGCGTCTTCCTTCTACATTGGGGAAACACTATAATACAGCAATGATTGTTCTAATTAATCTGCATAAATTAAACTTTTCATTATATAATACAATATTTCATAAACGTACTGGACATTGTCCACTAGCGTCACACTGCAAGTCTTGAGAACCGATATTATCACAATCACAAGGCTTGCAACCTTCCCTGCTGAATCCGTATTGATAAGAAACACATGCATCACAATGTTGTCCAGTAATACCAGGCCTGCATTCACATTGACCAGTAACGGGATTGCAAGTACGATTGTAGGATCCTTCAGCATCACAATTGCAAGGCACGCATCCCTAAAATATATGTATATAATTATTTAACTTATTGTTCTATTATCTATTGTAATAATTTGAAATACCTCTCCACTAAGTATATGATAATATCCTTCTTCACATTTATCACAATTTCGACCGATTACGTGAGGCTTGCAAGTACAATGTCCTGTTAATTGTTCACAAGGTGCTACTCTACCATCGTTTAGTTCAATTGTGCCTGGCGGGAAACACTGACATAATTTACATCCATCTTCTTTACGATCAGACAATGCGTCTCCGTAATAACCTGTTAAGTGTGCATTATATATTGTCATTCATAGTTTCGAAAAAGAGCGTGAAATGTAAGAAAGTTATATATTATTTACCTGAAAGGCATTCTTCGCAATGAAAACCAGCAGTATTATTTACACACTTCAAACATTCACCAGTTTCGTGATTGCAATTTCTTACAGCGTTTAAGTCAATATTATTGTTACAATCGCAAGACCTGCAGGCTATACCCTTTTCAGGATTTCCAAAATAGCCATCCGAACATGTTTCACATCTAGGTCCTAAAATAAAAAGCAATATAAATAATAGAACTATTTAGACACATTTTCTTCAAAAATATTTTTACCTGTTCTACCCAGTGGACATTCGGAACAAATTGGATCTGGATTATTGCCAAGCAATATACAAGGTCCATTGTCAGGACAGGGACATGGTTTACAATCATCGGATGTACCCTTTAATGGGTGACCGTAATATCCACGTTTACACAATTCACAATTACTACCGGCCGTATTATGTTCGCAAATACATTGTCCTGAAATAAATCGGAAGATATTAGAATAAATTTTTATATTAATCCTTTTATTATAAATTCATTCTGGAAGAAAGTCCTACCAGTTTCAGCTTCACAAATATCTGCATGATTGTTGCAATTACAAGGGACGCAAAGTGCAAAAGGACCACCGTTCGGCGGATCATGATGGAATCCAGGTGCACAAGATTCACAAAATTGGCCTACATAACCGTGGGGACATTGGCAATGTTCCACCCAATCAGCAGTTTCACCCGCAGCACCACGAAGAGCTGTCTCCAACTTAACATCGTCTAAGAATCCTCGACCTGCAGGGAAAAAACTACATGCATTGGAAACTTCATAAATACAATTTTATCTATGAATTTTAATTAAGATACCTTGATGCGTATAAGTGCCACGAATTTTAATAGCTGTTAAGTTTGACAAAATGGACATAAATGCTCGAGAAGAAAGGCGAGGTTCCCAACCGTAGCTAGGATGTTCGTGCAATTTGAAACGATATTCATGCGGCTGAAATTATTTTTTTAATAATTAGTAACCTATTAATATGATTATTACGTTACTTTACTTACTGTTACTGAAGGTAAATAATTATTTTGCCCGAAAATCGGTTGTGTGATTTGTTCTCCGTTTGCTCCCTCGAGTATTATATCACGAATAGTGGGTGCTGGACCAGCTTCACCAATTCTTAGTGTAAATGATAAGTCTTGGTTATAAGATGCGCGTTGATCACCAAGGAATCTATCTGCAGTTAATTAAATTCCTTATCAATAAGAAGTATATTTAGTTAGTACAAGAAAAACTATATATCCTTGTGCTTATTTTTCGTAATTCAAATTTTATCTTTTTCTAATTCCTATAAAAGAAAAAGGTTTATTGTGTATCTATATTTACCGGGTGCAATAAAATAAACATTATCTCGATCCAGTGCCGTGGCATATATCGTTTGAGTAAGAGGATCGTAATGAAGTGGTATCGAGTTACCAGCTACAGTAGCTCTCCATCGCTCAGCTCCTCTCACAAACATACTCTCAATTACAACTTTAGAATAGCCGGTCGCCGGCCTGCATACTGAGGAATGACCGTAACAGAAGCACGGTGTACAACCGAATTCATTATCCATTGCAAGATTAAAAAATCCTGGTTTACATCTGTTTTATAGTAAAATAAAAAAATGGTATTGCTACTTAGTTTCTCACATTCGCAATGCTGAAAAGGAAAACGATGATATAAATATACTAACACTCGACATCGCTTCCCTTCGACATTTTCTTTACAGATGCAAACACCACTAATGGGATCGCAGTTTGGTGCATTCGTGAGGGAACCGGCTGGATTACATTCGCACGAAATACAACCGTATGAACCAAAGTTATAATAATTCGCTCCACAACGATCGCACTTGTCACCCGTTACACCAGGTTTGCACTGACATTTTCCTTCGCTATTGCACTGTAAACTTCTTGAACCTATAAAATTGAACATTTATTAATTTGTTATATTTTTAATACCAATGTCTTTTAATATTAAAATTTTTATATTAATATTATATTCTAATATTAATATTTTTAATTTGTTATATTTTTAATATTAATAATCATATTAA